TTTAGACATTAATAAATAGTGACAGTTGGTATTAAGCGTTTTTGTCACGCAAATTTACATTTTATTCTTGTAATGGCCTTTTAGCCAAAATGTTAACGAAAAAATAATCACTAAGTCCTCTATTTAACAATATTTTTTCACATGTATTGGTCGTGCTAATCAGATCTATCTTTCAGCCGAAATATTAGGGCTGGTAGAGATCTTGATTTCATTACTAATCTTTGCAGGGGTATCAAAGATTAGTATAAGGGATCCATTGAACTTATTGTAACCGTTTCTGCAAATATGTATTGATGGCCTTTTCTTTACAGGGTCCATAATTCAAGAAAATTACGCAGGACCACCTTACATGACTGAATTCGATTCTTCGACCGGGTACAAATTATATCACATAGCCATGCTTTTCGCTTCTGTTCTGATTAACTACCATCCCTTACAAGTATTCGAAAAAAAAGCTTAGGGTGGTGGGATACAAAGCATTACGATTCAAGGATCTGATTCTAGCTTCGAGATACGAAATCGAGAATAACCGTAGTATATTTCTTTCTCGAACTTTCCAGCATATGGTAGGGCCGTGTGTTGTGCTTATGATAGATCTCGCCAATCCGATGATCTTCAATTGAAATTCAGGTATGATGGATCATTATTAATTCATTGCGGAATTAATCTAACCAAAACATGGGGTTTATCATGATTAATAATTTCCGCAACTAATACTAATGATTTTTTTTTTACAGGCAAAGCAGGAATATCAATTGACCGGATTTCCATGATGCGATCATACTAAGGTGATTCCCATGGAAGAAGAATTCAATTCTTATAAAAATCACCTATTGATCTTTTATCCAAACGAAACCACTAATCAATAAATTATCAATCGAACGAGGAAAAATCCATAAACAAAATTAAGGTATGTTGGAGGTGCTTTTACTACTTCGATTTTCCTTAATATATGTTAATCATCCTTCTTCCGACTTTGTAGATGAAAATTTCCTATTCTTTATATTCGCCGAGAAAATCTTTGAATATCTAATTGCCAGCACGTGCCTTGTGAGCGCAGTAAAATTTCTGTGGCTTATCATAATTGTGTATCACCGGAATTACACGTCTCATTTGCGCAGTATAATGACCCATCGGTAAGCTATCTTTTGCACATACAAACTCGTTAACTTATTGAACTGTTTTTTTCCTGAGATCTATGATTGAAAGAATTTTTCTCTTGCTAATTTTTTTCTTCGGGATTTTTCAGTGGCCCCGAAATCAAAATCCTGGGTATGGTTTCACTCAATAACTTTTTTTAGGGGCTTTGGAATAATACTATATGTAGATTGGGTTGAAAAATTGGTCTTCTGGACTATGTTGGAGGGAAACCTAGTGTATTTTTTTTCAGAAATCAAGTATATAGGGAAAATGTAGATGAAAAATAGCAATTTCATTAGTAGATCTAGCGGTCCTAAAAAATAGGGATGCACTTCCCAGAGAATTTCATCGGTAGGCCTTGGATCCGGTACATTATGTTTTTGCAGAAATTTCCTCCCATGCAAGCCCGCAAATATATTTTATTTTGTATATATTCTAGTAATGGCCGAAGTGCATAATATCATTGAATATAATAAAGTTTGCCTATCCGGGACATTTCTGATATAACTGACATAACTGAGATAGTTAATATTTTTGATATAACTGATATATTAGATATAGCAAATATATTTGATATAGTTAATTTATTAGATCGTGTAATATATTAATTTTATCTTTCTATATATTTAATTTTATATAAATAGAATGTTTTGTATGATAGGAAGTTAAATTTCATCTAGTCTAGTACTAATATTCTTAAACCTTTTTCATTATCTTTTTATTTTCCTTTTTTCTTAAATAAATATTTTTAAAACTATTTTATATGTAAATGTTTAAACACGTGATTATTTGCTAAGTAATTTACAGTTAATAAAATATTCTTTAATATATATATATATTATTCTATCATTTGAATGTCCTATCTAATATTTGTAATTTATAAGAATTATATGTTAATAGTACACTACTTTCAGAAAAGTATCTGGTTAAGCTCTTTTTAAATTTTTAAGTTAGAATATATTAATTAATTAAACCTTTTTTTTAAAAAATAAATCCTCTGATTTTGGTGATTATTATTATATGTTTATATTTGTGAAATAATACATAAATCAGTTTAATATAACCAACTTTGATTTTACATTTTTAATACTGTGTTATTTGGTATAGAAAAAAATTGGGTATTAAATGAATTTGAACTTATTGGTTTATAAATGACTAATAAAATCTTATATAGTCTTAATCAATTGAGCATTTAAGAAATAAACTTAAAGAAAGCATTGCAAATATATTGTATTTTTAAAAAACTTTTAGGAACTTGATAAAGTTTTATAAGAAGAATGGAAAAAATTTCCTTTTAAAATTTTTATTACTAATAAAAAGTATGTCACATAAGAATCAAAGCATGCATTAGGAATCAAGAATAGCTAACAAAATATTAATTATTAATTTATTTTAAAATTTATATTAAAAATTTTAAATAAATAAATTTTTTTGATTTTTTTTTTTGATTGATCAGATACTTCTTCAAAAGTAGTATATATTACTAAAAATACTTTCTCAATTAAATTTAGATAAATTTATTAAAATGATATTATAGACTATCCGAAAAATTATACTTTTTATTAATTCTATTTACTTTATAATAAATAGTAATATTTTATTTACCTTTAAGAAAAAGTAATAAATAATTATTTTAACTAATAATAATTTTTTGTTTACAGCTAATTTCATAATTCATGAACCATTAATAATTTTTCAATCACATTCAGTCATAATATTTTATAGTAATTTTATTATAAAATATTTTCAGTCACATTTAGTCGCAATTTATTAGTGATCTACAAATTATGAAATTAGCTATAAAATAATAATCTTCAAAATATTATTATTTATTATTAAAGATGCTTCTTAAAGTATTTTAGGAATTATAAATTTTGAGATATTTAAGATTAAATTATTTAAACTTAAAAATTTAACAACTTTTTCAAAAGCTCTAAAATGATTTTTTTTAAATTTAAAATTTGATTAAATTTAATTAAGTTATATGTTAAGATAGGATTCAAATAATATTATTTATTATATAAATATAATATATTTAAAAATAATCTATTGATAAACTTTAATATAACTATATACTAAATGTAAGTATTTATACTTTTTATTTAGTACAAAAAAAACTTTCTAAAAAGGATAAAAGAATTCTTAAATATAATATTTTATATTTTTAGTATATCATTTTATAATATATATAACATGGTAATAATTGTATTATCAGAATAATATGATTATATAAAAATGATATTAGTTATAACTAAGATTGTTAGATGAAATCTAAGGTTTAGCTAAATATTTAAATATAAAGTAAAACTTGGTTAAATTATATTAAAACCTTATTAAAAAATTTACAAAATTTAAAAAAAAAAATAAAATAATATCAAAGCTTATAAAAATAGCAAAGCTACATTAAATACTTAATAAAAATTTAATAAAACTAAAGGTTTAGATATTTTAGCCAAATCCAAAATGAGTTTAGACAAATAATCTTAATTATAATAAAGAAGTTAATAATTAAAAAAACACAAATAAAAAAGATGAAAATGAATATTTAAATCTAAAAATACAGATGAAAATGAAGAATTTAATAATACTATAAAGAAAGTGTCTAATAATAATATAGAGAATTTCATTTATGAATTTTTTTTAAGAGTCTTTATTAATAACTAATATTTCTGTATATTCCAAATAAAAAACTATATTATTTTGACTGAAATCTACCTAGATACTTGTATTAAATATAATAATTTGGAGATTTCTAAATTAACAAAAAGGTAAATATTAATATTGTAATAATTTTAGTGATATTACTACTAATTTAAAAAATTGGTTTAAATATATAAAATAATAAAGATAATTGAAAATGTATGAAGATCTAAACTTTATAAAAAATTAATAAATTGATTTATTTAATTTTTATTATAATTTAATAAATTGATTTTAATCATAAATATTAAAATAGAATATTTTTATAAGTCAATTATATTTAAAAAAATTTTGAATTTTACTTTAATGTCTTAATAAAAATATAAAAACCATTTCTATAAAATTATTTTGCCTTATCATAAAATTATTTTAAATATTAGAAAAAATATTTTACTTAACAATTTAAAATTATATAATCTTATAGAATATTTTCAAATTATCTAAAAAAATAATATATATAATATTTTACTATTTGTAATATCTGAAGTTTTAAGAGGTAAATCTTATACTTATGTTAGTAATTTATATAGTTTTTATAAAAAAAAAATTTGAAAATTCACTATTTAATAATTAAGCTTATAGTTTTCAATTTAGTTTAAATATTTATAATAATAAATATTCTATACTAATATCTGGTATTATTCAAGAAAATATTATGTGATAAATAATTTTTATTAGTATTACTGAAAGAAGAAGTTATATATATATATATAAAGAGAGAGAGAGAAAGAGAGAGAGAAAATAAAGATTAAATTATTTTAGAATACAAAATATTAGATCATATATTTTAGTTAAGTTTAAATTTTTTCTATATTTTTACTTTTATAGTAAATATTGGTAAAATATTATTTAAGATATATTATATAAGGTGTTAATTAGTATTACCGTCTAAAACTAAAATTTCATAGTTTAAAATAACTGTAATTAGTTTAGTTAAGTATTAAAATCAGTTTAGTTAATAGTTAAAACTACCAAAACTAGTTTTATAGTATTCTTATAAGAGGTAATGTAATCTATACTATACAATAAATATTGAAAATATATAACATTATTAATTTAATTAATCAAAAATATTAGAAAATAAATCTATTAAAAAGATCAACTGTTTCAGATATTAAAAAAAAATTAAAAATTAGTATTTAAATATAAAATGATATTATAATATTTTATAAAGAAGATAAAAATTTAATTAATGTAAGAAAATAATACTGATAGTGATAAAATTTTTGCTAAATCTCATTTACAATTATAGTAAATAAGTTATTTATTTGATTTAACTAAAAATTTAAAAATAATAAAAATATTAATAAAGTATAATAATTATTATAATATTTTATAAATTTATAAAAATATATATAAACTTTAATAATTACTTAAATTTACAAAAAGATATAATTAAGTGAAATTTAGTAGTATTTATTATTAAATTAAAGTAAACATAAAAGAAATAAACTTATATAATTTATTAAATTTACTTACTTCTTTGTTTAATTGAGAATCTGTGATGCAAATAATTAATCCATATATACAGAGGGTGATCACAGATACCCGAACGATTAATTAAACTATTTGAATATACTTATTATATTAACATTTTTTTAG